ATTTCTAAAAGAAACTTAAAACTATAAAATAATATTCCCAGTTTAAAAAAAAAAAACAACTTGGGGCTAGCCGATGGCGTAACGGTTACATCATTGGACTCCCACATGGCCAACAGTGGTTCGAGTCCCAGGCCTGTTGGCTCAAAACTCACCTAGGCGTATGTGCATGTGTTCCCAGAATCCCAGGAGGAGAATGAAGGAGAATAGATTATGGCATGGCCATATCTCCTGAGGGATGATTTCTCACTTCCTCTCTTACTATCTCTGTCTCTCTTTCTCTCTCTGGTGAGGACACATGCCCTAAGGCAAAAACCTCTTAAAAAGAAAAAATAGAAACTCTAGAATTGAAAATTACTACTGTGGACTGAATATGTCCCCCAAATCCATACGCTGAAATTCTAACTTATGAAGTGATGGTGTTAGGAAATGAAACCTTCGATGGGTGATTAGATTAAGAGGACAGAGCCCTCCTGACCTCAGACAGTATGCTGCCTTTCACATGAGAAGGTAGGCGCCATCTTTGAAAAGAAAGCAGACCCCCACCAAACACCAACTGTGCTGACACTACAGTCTTGAACTTCGCTGCCTCTGGAGCTATGAAAATAAATTTCTATTGTTCATGAGTACCCCAACTATGGTATTTTGTCAGGTCAGCCTGAGCAGAATAAGACAACGGCCACAACAAGAATAAGAACCAAATGAACAGGAACAAACTTAACAGCAGATTAGAAACAGCCAAAGACAGAAACAGCTACAGAGTAACAAGAAAAGATAAGCCAGTCTAAAGGAAATAATTTTTTTAAAAAAAAGAAAGGATAGTAAATACAAAGAGAAGGTAAGAAGTAAAATATAGTAAGAATGCCTGATCTATGTTTAAATATAGTCTCAGTAAAGGGGGACACAGGACAAAGCTATATTTTAAGAAATGGCTATATTTTTCCTACAACTTTAGAAAGATGATAATTCATGAATTTAAAAATCTCAGCAAATCCCAAACAGAATATTAAATAGAGAGTACACATCCACACACAATAAAGTACAGCTGTAGAAAAGAAAAAGTAAAAGAGGGGACAAGCCAATGGAATCTCTGCTCTAAACCCCATCCTCCAGACCCCCAAAAAGCTCAGACAGAAGGTATTTAGATCTGGGGTGTGTCCTGTCGTGTTCAAGGACTAAGGCAACTGAATCTCTGCTCTAAAACTCATCTTCCAGATCCCAAAAAAAGCTCAGAAGGGTCACAGAAATCCTCAACCTTTACTGAATCTGCTGCCTGAAGAAACTCCTCTTTACAAATCTGAACTCAAAATCTCTTTCTGTGGATATCACATTGCAAAACACAGCAGAGGAGAGAAATTGTCTCAGAAGCACCTTACACTAAAGCACATGGTCCTACAGTTGCAGAAACCTTCTCTAAGCAATTAGCCAAAAGTGAATACAGCACCAAATGAATAAAATCCAGGAGAGAGACTGCAGAGTGAGCAGCAGGGAGAAATACGGAGCTGCAGTGCGTGTGGCTCATCTCCTCCCACACACCTCTAAATCCTCAGTTGAAACCCCACAACTCAGCCCAGGTTCACCTATTCTCTAGAAACTGTGAGGGCTTTGTAATATCCAGTTCCAAAGTCAAAAGTTCAGATTGCTTAGTGAGTATCAGGGAGACGGAACTGCAGAGAGTTGCGGATCTTCTCCTCCTGCACACTCCTGAATGCTTAGAACTGATTGTAAGAGACTAGGACTAAATATATAACCCATCAGATGACCAGAAATCACTACAGAGGCACAAGAAATGTGAGAAACCAAGAAACTATTTTGCCCCCAAGGGAAAAGAACAACCCTCCATCATCTACAGACAGTAAAAAGAAATGTGTGGAAATATCCGATAAAGAATTCAGAATATTGGGACCAGCAGTTAGCGTAATGGCTATGTCGCTGAACTCCCATATAGTCAACCACGGTTTGAGATCCAGACCCGGTGGTTTAAACTCACGCCGGGCACGTATGCGTGCGTGCCCAAGATCCCAAGAGGAGAATGGAGGAGAAGGGATTGTGGCATGGCCATACCCTCTGGGGGGTGATTTCTCGCTTTCTATCTCTCGATCTCTGTTTTTCTGGTGAGTGCACCCTATAGCAAAAACCTCTTCAAAAAAATAAGAATTCAGAATATCCATAGTGACAAAAACTAAACAAGATGCAAGAGATGAGAGTCAATGTACTCCAGAAGATGCAAGAGAAAAGAGACAACGATTTCCAGGAAGTGAGGAAGTTCTTTCTGATTAGAAAGAAGAAATACATGCCATAAAAAGGAATCAAATGGAGCTGTAAGAGTTGAAAACCGTATTACAGGAAATCAAAGCCTCCCTCAAAAGTATTAAAAGCAGATTAAACCATGCAAAAGATTGAATCTTAGATGTTGAAAACAAAACCTCTGACTTAGAAAAAAATCACCAAAGTGACTGAGAAAATCACCCACAAAAGTGAGAATATACGAGAAATACTACATACCATTAAGCACTCAAACACCCGAATAACTGGTATCCCAGAAGGTGAAGAAACTAGTAAGGGTCTTGATAACCTATTCCATGAAATCCTGGAAATTTTTACAAACCTAGAGAGGAATTCAAATATGCAGACCCAAGAAATGCAAAGGACCCCAAATAGAATCAACCCAAGAAGATCTCCTCCAAGGCACATCATATTGGTATTTCCAGACTTGCCCCTCGCATTTTCTTGGTTGCTCTTCGTTCTCTTATTTCTGTCTGTGTGACTTTAGTTTTACTGGTAAAGCACTCCCTTTAGAACTTCTTGGAGAAGTCGCTAGCATTTTCTTGGTATAGTTTTCTTGGTTGAAACTGTTTTTCATTTAATTCTTTGAATATTTTTTCCCATTCTTTTTTTGCTCACATCATTTCCGACGAGAGGTCTGATGTTAGCTTGATGTAATAACATTTGTAAGTAACCTGACATTTATCTCTCGCCAATTTTAGTATCTTGTCTTTGTGGATTTGGCTAATGTATTTGGCCAAATATAATCAAACTGTTAAATGAAAAACAATTTAAACCAAGAATAATATACATGGCAAGATTTTCCTTCATATTGGGAAAAAAAAAAAAAGATAAAAACATTCTCAGATAAAGAAAACCTGAAAGAATTTTCCAACACCAGACCAGCTCTCCAAGAAGTTCTGAAGGGAGTGCTATACAAGGGAAACTAAAGTCACAAAGGCAGAAATAAGAGAACAAAAAGCAACCAAGAAAATGCTAGGGACAAGTCCAGAAGTATCGATAATAACATTGAATGTTAACTTCCAGGAATTAAACGAAAAGATTGGGCCATAGTAACACTACGAATTCAACAGAAGAGAGTTTAATTATATGAAATTGAACTGGTGAGATAGAATTTTATGACTTTGGGGGTTGGCAGGTGGCATGGTGGTTAAGGGTGCTGCACTCCCACATGGCAGACCACAGTTCAGGTCCTGGACCTGGTGGCTTGCTTTCTCATTTTCTCTCTCTCTCTCTCTCTCTCTGTCTGATCAAACTGGAAAATAATAGTAATAAAGTTAAATTTTTTTTAAATGTTATGACTTTTGACTAAAATTGTACTGCTTTTTTTTTTCTACACTTTATTTTCCAGATTTAAAGATTTTGCTTTCTTTTGAGCTGTTGGTAGGTTCAGCAATCTGTTAAAATTTTGTTTTTTTTCTGTTTTTTTTTTTTTTGCTTAATTCTTCATTTTTTTATTAAATTGAAACATAAAATTTTCTCCCTTCCTGACCCCTCTGGAATCAGAAAATATTTGTGAGTATTTTTATTTTGTGGCAGAAGGGTTATCTGCATAAGTTCAATAATACCTGTTGCCTTGCATCGGAAGTTGGAAATACTTGTTATTGCCAGGGCTTGGACTAGAATGTCATATGTGGAGATAGGACCAGAAGACTATGGAACTTAAGTAGATCTCAAGAAAGTTGACAGAAGTTTTTGGAAAGATCGTCATGAACAGTTCTGCCTGGCAGAGAGGATTAGAGAAGCCATATGAAAGAATTTGTACCATAAAATAACCTGGACTTTTCCAGCCCAGCGCTGTAATCAGAAAAGACTGCAAAAGAAGAGCCACAACCAGAGGATTACCTTGAGGAAGACTTTGAAGGAAGAAAAAGAGACTGATCTTTGCTAGCAGGTGGTAAAGCACAGAACACTTGGAAGGCAGAGCTGAATAGGGAAGGTTCCTGCATGAATTTTCTGCAGGGTGTTTGCTTCTCAACAGTTTGAGTAGTTGACATATAAATACTTTCTCCAAAATATTTAAATCATATTGTGTCTGTCAGTATAGAGTCACAAAGTTATAACAAATATTTTAAAAGTTATCTTTAAAATTTAGTCTTCTGAAAATTTTGAAAGTTGTTCACTAACTGTCAAGAACTGGGGAACCAGCAGTTAGCGTAATGGCTATGTCGCTGGACTCCCACGTAGTCGACCGCGGTTCGTGTCCCGGACCCAGTGGCTTAAAAAACTCACGCCGGGCGCGTGTGCGTGCGTGCCCAAGATCCCGAGAGGAGAATGGAGGAGAAGGGATTGCGGCGTGACCATCCCCCCTGGGGGGTGATTTCTCGCTTTCTGTCTCTATGTCTCTCTCTGTCTGTCTGGCGAGTGCACGCGCCCTACAGTGAAAATCTCTCAAAAAAAAAAAAAAAGAACTATGGAATATGAGCAAAAATATTTTGATATGTAAAGTAAATGTTTGTGGGAAAATATAATAAATAAATAAAAAGGAAAAATAAATAAAGAGTAAAAGAGAAAAGCCTAGAAGCAGCCTGCAAAGGCAGACTGCCTTTGAAAGCCAAGAGTTACAATGCCATAGGTTTCTGATTGACTGCAAGATATCAGGATATCCAGCTAGTAAACGCAGAATTATTCATGTTAATCCATTTTACCTATGCAAAAAAAGAAATGAAAAGAGGTTTGGAAATGACAGTGTTCCAGAAATGGAACAGACAACCTACCTTGAGCCACTGTTCTGCCTGCTCCTTACTCTGGACGGCAAGAACAAGCGGGTCTGTGCCTTGCTGCGTAATCTTCAACTCGTGCTTCTTCTTTTTGCTGTCTTTCGGGATATACATGATATTACAGCCTTGGAGTGGCAGTTCCATTTGAGGCTGCTGGTCCTTGGAGCTTTTATAGCACTGCATTTAACATAACAGATCAATGTACATTACAGGGAAGTTCAGACATGAGTACTGACAAAACTCCAGCACGACGAAAATGTGAGTGCTGGCATGGCCTCTGGAGGTCAGACTGAGCAGTGGGAGTGGTCAGCAGTGGGAAAATGGATTTGCAGGCTAACAGCACACACGAAGTGCTAACTCACGTTGACATTTTACTTCCAAGTTTAGTAATACACATTTATTCATTAATTCTGCAAAAGTTAACTAAACATCTAAGAAATGATCCCCCCTACGAAGTCCCTATATGGATGGAGCTTCTAGTGAAGCTTCATAACTGCAGCACATGAATACATTTATATAAGTAAAAATACATAAAATATATTTATACTTACATGAATAATATGTGAGATACATTGTTATACTGCCTTAATGTGGGGAGACAACATAATAATTGTATAACCAGTATTGCTTGGTATCTGCCTATCGCCTCTCTATCCCCTTTCTGAGAGAGAGATAAATTATTTTATTAAAAGAATAAATACTGAGGGCCAGCAGGTGGCACGGAGGTTAAGGGAGCTGGATCCCATATGGCCAACAACAGGATTCAAGTCCCCCATATGGCAGTTTGAAAAACATATCAGGCTCAGGCCTGTGCATGCATATGCAAAATCCCAAGAAAAGAAGGGATTATTTACACTATGGCCAACCCCTGAGGGAGTGCTTTCTTACCATCACCTCCACCCCATCTCTCTCCAGCAAGAACACATGCCCTATAGCAAAACTTAAAAAAAAAAATAAAGTATATATATCAGCCTAGCCATGGTGGCACAGGTGGTAACGTGCTACTCTGCAATTCTGGAAGCCACATGGACAGCCACAGGTTCGGATCCTGAGCTGACCTAGAACAACCAGGGGACATGTCTAAGATCCTTATTAGCTGAGGGAAAAGGAACACAATGCGACCAGACCCTGCCGAGCGTGGCTGTGTCTCTCTTTGTCATGAGTACACACAAACATGCTTGCTCTCTCTCTCACGAAATAAATAAAATAAACTTTAAAAAGAGAGTACAAATAAGCCATACGTGATGTACAAAATGTCAGCAAATGTTTGCTTTCTAGTCAAGTAGATGATCCAAAACTCACACACGCCATTTACACAAATGGCATAATGCCATTTACTCTAAAGATTTCGACTGGGAAGATAAAAACTAAGGTTGCCTTCACATTTTTCTTACTTAAGATCTGTCTCTAAAACTTAGAATCAAATTTTTGTCCGTTTTCCCTGCCTCCTTTTGTTTCACTGTATTACTTGAGGACTAAAGTGTATCTCTCAATGGAAAGATACAGTCTGACAGGTCAGATACCTGGGTCCAAGCTCTGGTACTAATTTAATCTGAATTCCTGGACTTTTCTTTAGTTCTCTGGGCCCACTTTCTTATTTGTAAAATGTGTTTTGACGTCATTGCTATTACTGTATTAAATTACATTAGGATGTCAGTCATGGTAACATTTGCTGCCATGTACTGAGTGCCAACGTTAGATGAGGCATTTTGTACATCTCATTTAATCACACACAAAGTGCCTGTGTTACAGATTATGTATGAAAATAAGCTTTAGTTGGTTAAGTAACTTACACAAAGTCAGATAATCTGGAAAATGGTAGACCAGGACTCTTGCCCAAATTGTAAAAGCAGAGCTTGAATTCTTGATTCTAAACCATGTATTGATGAAGAACTGGATATCTATTTTCAGAAATAAATTCTAGAGTCCTTTCCTATTTCACAGTTCTAAATCTATGACTCTTGATTATTGCAGATAAGGAACATATCCACTTTTCAAAAAATCGAATGATGATTGTTTTACCTAAAAAGGAAGGAAAGGGACCAGCAGTTGGCTTAGTGGCTATGTTGCTGGACTCCCATGTAGACCATGGTTCAAGTCCTGGACCCAGTGGCTGAAAGTCATAGTGGTCACATTGTGTGTGTGTACCCAAGCTCCCAAGAGAAGAAAGGAGGAGAAGTGATTATGGCGTGGCCATCCCTGGGGGTGGGGGGTGGGTGATTTGTTGCTTTCTGTCTCTTTGTCTCTCTCTCTGTCTTTCTGGCCAGCGCATGCGCCCCATAGCAAAAAACCTCTCCAAATAAATAAATAAATAAAATTTAAAAATAAAAAGGAAGAAAAAAATTACCCCAAAACCAACTAACTTCAGACTGTAATGAACGTTTACCATTTACCTTTTTTTTTTTTTGCGTTCTGAATAAGTGCAAAAAAAGGGGAAGGGAAAGGTAAAATGGAAATTAACAGCATAGCCCAAAGGATCAGAAAAGGAATTTTATCTCTTAGGTTTGTCCTTGAGTTAAATTCCTCACAATAGATATGTTATCAGCGATAGGACAGGCTGCAATCTTGAGATCCAGGCAGGCTTGAGTCTCAGGGAAGCTGCCTCTAAACCAGAAAGGAGCCTGCGGGACAGTATTAAGTATGCCCTGAGGAACACCACCAGGAGGAGGGAAAGGAGGACGTGCAACTGGACAGAGAAGCAGAGATGCAGTTCAAAGAAAATGCCTTGGGATGCCATGGGAGCTCTGGAGCTGGAAGACTCCCCCCACCAGAACCGGCTGCCCCACTAGCCTGGGAAGGGAACATGATCTTGGGCTCAGGGCCTTCTTCAAAGGGGACAGTCTCCTAAGTGGGTCAGGAGCCCTCCCAGCAAGTGAAGGAATAAGTCCCTCAGTGGTTTAAGGGATCACAGTCCGCACCACAGAGCTGCAGAGGCACAGGAAGAAGCAAGTGCTAGAACAATACACAAAAAAGCCCTTCATGGTGGTGCCTGCCGGGACGCAGACTGGCAGTACACGGAGAGCAAGCTTTCGGTTTTCCGTTTATAGCTTTCCGCACTGTTTAAATTTGGAAAGCATTTGCTTTTATTACTGTTAACTTTTTTGTTTTTTAAATAGCAACAGGGCTTCTCTGGGCAGTTAGATCATAGGTCATCTTTGAACCAGTAAAAAGCTTCATAATAAAAATAACAACCTCAATTCTGTGTTTTTTAATAGACAATTCTTTCACCTGACTATCAATTAATTTCTTCTTAAAAATTCATGACTGAGTGGTAGGCATTTTCATTCTGGTTTTAAAGAGGAAAAAACAGTAGGAAATCGACTGGAAGAAAAAAGAGGGGTGGGGAAAAGATGACAAGTTGAGGGGTGGGAAGAAGAGGCAGGGGACTTTTAATCCCAAACTGTTAACCCCAAACAACCGAAAGACTTCCCCACTGTGTTCTGAAACATCCCTTTTAAATGAGCGTTGATTGTGTATTTTTAAAACATTTATATAATACACTCACATCTTGCAGCCATTATGTCAGATTGTAAATAAGGACCACATTAATCTTTTTATTTTTATTCTTTACTTTAAAAATTCCCCATGGCATCATTTTTGGCATATTCTAAATTTGGAAGAAATTCAGAAATTCACACATGTGGAAAAAATAAGTACTCTCACTGTTTAAAAAAAATGGAATAAAAACATTAATTAAAAATATACAGGACCAGATAAGCACTGTGCATCGGGAGCTGAATCCCACGTGGCTGACCTTGTTTAAATCCGAGCCCTGTCAGTTTGAAAGACATGCAGTTATGTGTATGCCCAAAGTCCTGACAGGAAGGAGAAACACGAAAGGCTGGTACAGCCCCGCGCCAAGAGTGGTGGGGGTACTTTCTCTCTGACCCTCCAACCTCGGGAAGCACAGGTACACTCTGGCAATTACAAAAGGGAATTACCTGTCTACTACAAAACTAATGAAAGCATTTCTAATTTAAATTATATACACATACACACACAACACCATATCCAGAGAATCTAGTAAAAAAAAAAATTCCTGTAATTCACAGATTAATCTTGGCTTTTTGTTTTCTGTTTGTTTGATAGAGAGCACACACATGTGCACACGAGAGAGAGCGAGGGAGACAGAGGTACCGTTCACAAAGCCTTGTCACGCTGCAGTCCCCTGACGCCCAAGCTCCTCAGGATCCTGGCCCCTGGCGTGCATGCCTGGCATGTTTTCAGGCAATCTAGAAATCCAAACTCATGGCCAGTATGTGGCTTTTAGTCTTGCCTGGCATTTTTGTTACTGCTATTCCATAGCGACTGAGCCTGAAATGTGGTTTAAAAAAAAATTAGCTCCTTCACTAAAGAAAGATATACAAAAACATAAATTCTCATATCTTCTATATTAATGATATAATTTTTGAGCAATTTTTCCCCCAAGGTTAATCTGAAAGAAAAACAAAAGGCAAAAACATATACCAAAGTTCAGATTTCCAATAATAAACCATCGTTTTTATTTTTTTACTTTTTTTTCTTTTTGAGAGAGAGATTTTTGCTATAGGGAGTGGGCATGAGACAGAGAGACAGAAAATGAGGAATCATCCCCTGGGGGGATGGCCACACTGCAATCTCTTCTCCTCCATTCTCCTCTAGGGATATTGGGCATGCATGCACACAGGACCCGTGTGAGTTTCACGCTCCTGGGTCTGGGATTCAAACCACAGTCAGCCATGTGAGAGTCCGGTGACGTGACCATTACACCACCCGCTGGTCCCAATCAATCACGATTTTTAACGGAAAGAAACTAAAAGAAAAATTAAGGTGTGAAGGAAGGGGGAAATTGGGGCAGTGGGAAAGAGGAACTGTCACACCATTCTCAAACGCTCTTGCTTCCTCAAGAGAGCCGCACCGGAATATAACCTACAGCAAAGGTTCTGTGCATTCCTGTCTCTGTTTCTCTTATCATTCTATTCTGCCTCTAAGATTTAAAAAAAAAAAAAAAAAAGAATTGGCCTAAGCTTTCCAAAAGAATTTCCTTTCCTGGCCACTCTCCCCTCTAAACCTCCAAAGGCCTACCCATCCCACTTCTATGACCTGGCTTTGAGGAATTCACTGACTCACTACAAATGAGAAAATCCATCTTGCAGCTTCTGGCAAGTTAAAATATGATGCATTTCCACTGACACGAACCACAGGCACTGCCCCAGACTGGGAATGATTTGTCTGCCAGTTGCTTGAAGACCAGGGAAACCAACGGCATTAAAGGCGTGACAACGTCGGCCAGCGCTCACCACGGGCTTACCGTGGATCCAGCACTCAACTGATGCAAGCGCACGGTGTGCCGCCGAGCTCTGGGCGCTTCATTTCTAGTAAGATTGACATTGATGCTGACTGGGAATAAATCCCATTGCTTTAGAAGGCCAAAGAAACCCTTACCAGCTTTATAGCAAATCAAGCGATTCGAAATGCCTCACCAGCAGCTTGGTGTCTTTGATGACACAGAGTAACTTGGTCCACTGGCCGAAACGTTTCTTCCGCAGCAGGAAGGCACAGATTTTAGCGTCCTTTACCAGGTCCATGGAGGCCTCCTCGGAGGGCCACTGGTGTCGCGTTTTCTTGCCCTTTCCATCTTCCTCCTCTTCATCATAGGATTCATATGAGCTGCTCATCGCATCTGAGTCATAATCTACAAACATGAATCAAGATAAAGGGACCTTATCATGAAATGTGCCTATGGATTCAAGGGCATGTCATTCTATTTTTTATAACCAAGTAATTTAAGGAGAAAGAGGCTACTGCCTCCCCCCAAAAAAATAAAAAATCAATGGATAAAAATAGATAATCCTAAGACTTGGAAATTAGAAATTTATTAGAAAGTTTTAAACTGAATGTCTGACACTCCTGTTTATATAAGCCATTTCTAGACAGCACTACATGGACCGGACACGCAGGCCTGCCGTTGTTCACTCTCAGCCACATCCCTGCCCTCCTCTGAGCCGCATCCCGCCGCATAGAATTCTCCCCACAGAGGTCCCTGCTTTCTTGCAACCATATCTTTATGTCAAAATACTCTATGTCTGCAATATTTTTCTTCCT